CGCCAAAGCATTAGTTCTACAATTTACCCTATGTCTTCTATGTCAATATTCCCCCCCCCCTTTTTTTTAAAGGTTTTCTTCAAATGGAAACACACAATTCTTTCTCCTATATAAAATAGCACACAACATGACAAAAACCCCCATCATGTTCATAGAAGAAACGAAGGTAAATTTCAGAAATTGGTAGAATTTAGAATTATAGGCAAAATTCTAGAGCGGACTATTAAACATGGTGTGTGCACAAGGAGGAAGTGGCACTCATTTGGTGCCAGGAAGACCTCACAATGAGTAAGTCACATGACTCTGTTCTTTTCCTAACCAGGTAATTCATTGACTTGAATGAATAAATAGTATATATGGCTCAAGGTCAAGAAACCTTCTATCCAAGGGTAATTTGTAGGCTGTTCAAGATGAGAGTTCTTAACACAAGGGTAATTTGTAGGCTGTTCAAGATGAGAGTTCTTTGGGACCCCACTGCTCCCTGGCAGGACAGGGAGCAGTGGGGTCCCAAAGTGAAGAGATGGGAGGGTTCCTGCTCAAACACCATTGCTAGCTTGTCCCAGCCCATCTTGAGGAGACAGGAGGGAGGGTTAGCTACATTAAAAGGACTGGGACTTGGTGATGACCAGCAAGAAATGTAACCTTTGTTATAGGGCAGTACAGTCATCAATGGTACTCATTATCAAAATAGCAGCTAATCATTTTGGGGGAGCTTAATATTTTGCTAAAAACAATTCTAAAAGATTGACATTTTCAAAACTATTCCTTGAAGGAAGAGCTATTATCTCCTTTTTGCAGATGAGAAAATTAAGGTACAGAGAGACTGAGTACTTTGTTCAAGGTCATAGAACTAAAAAGTAGAAAAGCTGGTATTCAAATTTAGGCTCCGGAGCCTCCTTCTGAGCTACCCATGAGCTCCTGGAGTATTGAGTGATATGTGGATGTGGATCTCAAAGGAAGTCTCGAGAGATATGGCCCCAAATTCTTAATTTAGCCCTGTCCTAAAGAACATTTAAAAAAATGATATATGAAGGAATCAGAAGATTGCTTATAAAATCAAGATTGACAAAAAATTCTTAATTTTAGGAATAGCTAAGAATTTTCTGATGACAGAATGAGAATTCAAAAATATCTCAATAGGTTAAAATGACAAGCTGGAAGTAACATTAAATTTAATGGGTAAATGTGAAATCTTGAATTTGAGGCAAAAAAAAAAAAAAAAATCCCTACCAAAAACAGCATAAAAAAAATAAGGCTAATTTCATCTATTTCTTCCTACATCAGTTTCTATCCCCTCCATCCAAACAGTGGCCATGCCCCACAAATTTACCTCCTTAATGATTCTTGAGCTCTCTGTCCCTGCCCGGCCTCTCCTCTGATTCCAGCACTCACTGCCCTTCTTCAACCTTCACACACTTGCCGTCCAATTCATCTTATACAGAGCTCAGGAGAATCTCCCCAAAGCACCTGGTACTCCCCATTCACTATTCTTCACCAGCTCCCACCTAATTTAGGGTCAAGTTCCTGGCATTCAAGATCCTCCACAATGTTGGCACAGCCTTCCTTTCCAAAGCTCCAAATTCATTATTTGTTCCTCCTTTTTTTTTTTTTTTCTTTTTTTTTTCTTCTTTTTTTTTTTTTTTACTCTTCCTCACCACCTTCACATCTCTCTGGTTCCTTTCTTCCTTCAGCTCCTTAAGCCTAAGTCATGTCTTCCTTTTCCTTCACAAGGCCTCTTCCTTCATGTCCTCCCCCCAGCCTTTCTTGTCCTCCTCAGATAATTTCTTCCTCCTGGAACATCTAACTGTATTTTCTGTTATAAGTTATACACACACATCCCCTTTCTCTGTGGATACACACACATCCCCTTTCTTTGTCCCCTATTTCCCTTTCTATCCTCTATCAAGAATATAAGCTCATTAAAGGTATAATCTGTGACTGATTGACTCTGCTGTTCTCATACACTCACATGTGTCTTGGGTCTGGTAAACCCTCAATCAGTAGCTACAAATGCAATGACAGGATGTAAGAAGCAGCACTGTGTCCGGCACTGGGTCCTGCATGGGGAAGGTGATGGTGCTGTTAGGCTCAGTGTGGAGGTCTCCATTTAAAGCCAGGCAAGCCAGGCTAGCGGGCAAGAGAAAAAGAAGACTTTTTTCTCATTATGAGAAAATGAGAATGTTCAGTCTGAGGTAGGGGCGGGGGTAGGAAAACAATATGGACTCTGATAGTCAACCTTACATATATGAAGGGTTTTCATGTATAAGGATTAAACTAATTTGAAATCACACCAGGAGAAAAGGTCTATGCACAATGGATAGGGGGACATCATTTCAAAACCAGAAATTGCTCAAAAGGACCAGCCTGCTTTGTGGATGTTGAGGGCTTCCCATCACGTGACATACTGAGCGGCAGGATCATAAATGACAAGGAAAAGATCTATAGCCAGTAAGATGCCAAGCTGTATGAAGCTAAAAAAAACAAACAAACAAAAATAAAACAACTCCTTTCTAAATCACAAGAACAGCTCTAGCCAGTTTGGCTGAGTGGATAGAGTGTCAACTTATGGACTGAAGGGTCCCAAGTTCAATTTTGATCAAGGGCACATGTTGGGGTTGAGGGCTTGATCCCCAGTAGGGAGCATGCAGGAGGCAGCCGATCCATGATTCTCTCTCATCATTGATGTTTCTATCTCTCACTCCCTCTCTGAAATCAATAAAAATTTATTTAAAAATTAATTTAAAAAATCACAATAATAGTAATAATAATAATAATATAAATGGTGATCAGTGGTGTTTAGATTCTAGAATCAACTTTACCTTATCTTGGGCAGATTATGTAACTTCTCTATTATAACTAATATTCATCAGCATTATTTGTTAGAATTATTGGTTGGCCATAATGAAATACAAGCAAAAAGAGGATATGATTTGCTTTAAAAAAAAAAAAAAAAAACCTTAAAATTCAATGGAGGTTAAAGACAAACTTAGCAATAAATTTAAAACGATGTTATTAAAATGCAACCAATTTTAAAGGTTTTATTTTTTAAAATATTTTGTTTTAATATTTAAAATATGCTATTTGAGTCTCATTTGGTTGATATGATGTTGGTATAATCACTTTGGAGATAGTTTTTGTAAAGCTGTGGCCCAGAAATTCCAACTGGAGAGAACTAAAGATGAACGTGGCTTTTAAATTTGTATTTGTATACCAGTTAAAGGAATTTTGAAAAAATGACATTCTCCTCCCCACATTTAAAAATTGATATTTAATATCTTTCAGTATGAACTTAAATGGTGACAAAGAATATATTTTAATATTATAAATAGTAACATTTTAAAAGCACTATTTTAAGTGTACCCAGTGGAATCTTAACACCGTAGGGATTTGATATCCACCATTATACACATAAACTATATTCGAATAAGGGCCTCTTTGACAGTTGGTATTGTTCATTTTTCTCTTGGAATTATTATTTCTATTTTGGTTCTCACTGAATTTCATCCATTAGAAATATATATTTATGTCTGAAAGTATCTTATTGATTTCTCTATTGTGGTGTTCTGCCAAAAAACTGTTTGTAGAAATTAGAATCTAAAATAAATTAAAATTTTCTGTTACCACAAGACTAAATTTTAACATTTTTTGTTTGAATTGCCATTATAATTATTATTTAGTACACAATTATTATAGAATAATTACTGATTATTTGAATGATTTAAAGGCAAATATAATTTTATGAATCACTTTTAAACAAATAAAGTAAAATATCTTTGGAAGCGCATCCCTCAGCGAGGTGGTTGGGTTCTTTTCTTTAATTGGTTGATGTCTTGTGGATAACCATTACTTACTGCTGGAAGGTAGTGAAGTTTTAATCTAAGTTGTATAGTCTTCGGCCAGATTCATCTTTCTGGCCACTGCTTCCTGGCTCACTTATATGACTCCTTATCGTCTACTATACAACATCTAAATGTTCAAGTCTCACCTTTTAAGAGCCTTTGTTATTTGGTCTTACTTTTCCTGCTAAATATTATTTCTCACAACCTTCTACTAGGACATCCATTCCACCCAAACCTCCTTCCATCCCCCCTCTGAATACTAGGCAATTGTGCTGTGCTTTCTCTCCACCCCTGCAAAGCCCTAACTCATTCTTTGCAACTTCCTACATCGAATGTGTCTTTCTCAGGCCCACCACACAGCTCATCGTCTGTGAAATCTTTCCAGATTCCAATAACCCTTTCTCTCTTTCATTCCCTCTGCTCTTATATTCTGTACTGCACAAGCAGTACCTGATTATGTACTGTACTTCACCTGCCTAAGCTTAATTATATATCATACACAATGTAGCATTTTATTATACATTCCTTTCTCCCCTGTGTTAGGTCTTGTCAACCAGATCATAATTTGCTCCTATAATTAGCTTTTCATGAGAAGTGCTATGATCCTTTCCATGAGCTCAAAGAGATTTTTGAACCCAAAGAAAAGAAATTAGAGGGAAAAACTAAAGGTTTTCAAGTTCATAACAATGGTGTTTCATTTCTGCTGATGCTCAAAACAGTGGAACTGTCTTTTCATGACAGTAGGAAGGCTATAGATCAAACGGTAAGAGGAACACATTTGAAAGAACTAAGAGGAAATCATATTATAGATTATTAAGTGTTCCTATGAGTTTGAAATTGCTTTACTTTAAAGATCGTTTAGAATCACATGATTTACTAATCATATTCTGGAATGTCCTCAAGGAAGGTTATTAAGGTTTTAAGCTTTCATGGAAATCAAGGCTGACACCTCATCTAACCCACCGATGGCAGTCCTCAGTGGCTCTGACTTCTGTGGGATGAGGACAGCATCCAGGAGACTTTCTGTGGCACATGTTCTCTGCAGGCCCCTTGACCAACTCAACAGTGGTCCTTCCCCCTGAGTGAGGCTCTGAAGGCAGTGCACCAACCGGACAACAGTCAGGCTGCCAGTGACCCTGCTCAGGTCCCAACAGCACCTACCTGTAGGCCGCTGTGCAGGTGTCCTTGTACTCCTGCAGTTTCACACACACCATGTTGAGGAACTGATCTGAGTACGCGCTCAAGTCATGCATCAGATTCAGGAGGTCTTGCACCGTCTTCTCCACAATGATTGTGCTCTGCCAAGAACACAGAGAGGACACAGATTCAGGAGTTGTTTTTTTATTCAAGTTAATATAGGTAAGACAAGGAAAGAGGTTGAAATAATGCAATTATTTCAAACACTCAAGCTTTCCTGGGAGGGCATTTAGAAATACTGATGAAAAATGACAACAAAATAAATATCTTACATAGAGCTGGTCTTCCCAAGATCTGAGAAAGTATTTTCTATGAAAGAACACAGGGATAGGGATTTTCAAATTGGTTTCATGGAATTCTGGGCAGTCATAGCTGTCTCTGTGGCTTTTCAGAAAGTGAATACCTATTCAGTTGGGCCTAATTTATCACCTCAGGTCTGTACTTTGAGATGAGGGACCAATGGCAGGCAACACAAAGAAAAAGCCTTCCATGACATATTTTTAAAGCTTCAAAACCATCCATTTATTAAGAATAACAACTACTATTTGCATTGTGCTTTACTGACTCTAGAATGTTTTCACATACATGGCATATGATATCTCACCCTAGACACATAATGATCACGAACATTTATTGGTTCTTACAAGAACAAGGTACAGTGCTAGGGTTCTACATGCTTCACCTCACTTAATCCTCTCAACATGTCTACTACTGGGTGAATCCCGAATTCATCACTAGTTTAAAGATGAACAAACAAGCTTAGAATCAGGTGGTACACAAAGCGAAGGCTCCAGGCTTTGCTCTTTTAACTACACGGTTCTGCCTCCCGGCTAGACCTGAGTTCTGCCTGTAGCCCCATCGTTTTCTCCTGAGATCACAGTATTTGCTGCTGTTGTTGCCACTGTAGAAGCAATGTCCCAACAGACTCCGACACAGAGACAGAGTACTCTGCAGTAAACCAGTGTTAGTTCTGAAAAGAGGCATAATCAGTAATTTCTCACCCTTTAAGAAAAGACAGAGTTTTTGGAACCATTAGTTCATCTTTCAAAAGGAGCAGATTGACCCTGGGGTAATATTAATCACATGCTTAGCAGCTTGGAATCCTTTGGTCAATAAATGGTTTGTTGAATACACATTTAATCAGATAGAATTGCATAGGCTACAGTAGACTTGGTCATAAAGTAAACATTGAAAAAAACATTTTTCCCCCCCAGTCTGACAGTGACCCATGAAAGAATCAAATGCATTTTATTATGCTTAAATGTAGACAGTGAGGTACAGGGTTTTGGTTAGCTTTCTTTTTCTTCTAAAAATAAAAAGAATGGATAAAAGTAGGCAGCTTTTTTTCCTACACAATGGAGGATCAGCTTGTTACGTGTTTACAAGTGTATGTTTATTTGCTTGTAGGAATTTCTTGTCTTTTTCCCCCTTTCTTCTCCCCTCTAACCTTCCCCAAAGTAAAATAACCAGAAGGAGAAAAGGAAGAACAGTTACATTCGGTAAGGCAAACAAAATTACCATCTCTATAGAATCCCCACAAGTTCAACTTCCTTTTCTGTATTGATTTTAAGATTAAAACACTGCAGATTCCCCTGATCCATAATCCCTTTTCTCTGTATTTGTGTGTTGAGTGACAGGAATTGATTCTGCTTAGCTACATGTCCCCACGCTGCTAAGAAGAATCTAAAATCCTTATCCTGCTTCAGAACTCAGGATATCCTACAACGTGTGGACAGCAATTAACAAAGGAGCTTGCAGCTCAGCCTTCCTGACAAAGCCAGTCTAAAACCCAGAGCTCTGCGGGAAGAGGAGTGAGGGCAAGATGAGCACGGGAGTTGGCGAGAATTGTTGAGGGACGGGCCTGGCTCTCCTTTCAATTATGCCATTGGTAATCAACTCGGGGCAGGTTTGGGTAACCTCTTCCTTTCTTATGACTCAATTTACTCTTCTAATAACTGAGGATAATGTGATGGCGCCGCTAATCTACCGGCCCTCATCATTCGAGTATTCACTGGGTGCCCTGGCGCTTCTGCTCTGGGAAATAAACACTGTAATTGTTCCGGGCCTCCCAGGTGTGCTGGGGCTGCCTGACCAGATTACCAATTTCTCACAAGCAGGCTCGGCATTCTCCTCCTTTCATCCAGCTCCCACCCTCCCCGGCTGCTACTTGCTTATAATTTCTCAGGATCTTCAGGACAATACTAACAAAAGAAATGGGACTAACAGTAACACACACCAATAAACCGAGATTGTCACATGGGAGGATGCTAGACACACCTCTGTGATTGGATCAGTTTGGTCTGTATTTATCCCAGTGTTTTCGGGTGACCAGCCCTATGCTGGTGGCAGTGGGAGTGGAAGGGAGATGCAGACACAGAGGATCAACCCCTGGAGATTAGGATGTGGGGTAAACAGGGCCCACAGGAGGGAGCAGTGAGAATGCCATGGTTAATGTGAGGGGTTGTGCTCACCAACCATTGTGATGCTCTGTGATTACAGACAATTTTCCTGCTATTTGCTTGGCTTGCCTTGTCATGCAGCACTCTGGATAGCCAGTCACTACATTGTCCTCAAGGAAAATGACGCTTGTTTGCCAAATGATGGGTATTTTTGTAAGGGAAAAAAGTTCCATTTTCCAAGAATTTATAATAATTTCCAAAACAGTCACTCTGACAGATAAATGTTGAAAATATCAGATTTCTAACAAGGTCAGTTCTGTTTTTATTATATGATCTCTTTAGTATCACAAATGATTCATTGATTCATTATTAATTTCAGTATCTGCCTATATTGAATGAATTCTAATAAGTGAGACTCTGATTTTTATTCATTGTAATTGCTTTTAAATATGTAATAAATGACTAATATTTATACAGAAACAATTAAATTTTCATTTCTTGTGACTTATTACCAGGTAATCAAGTCTGGACATGACATGAAAAATGAGAAAATGAAAAAAAAAATTCCCATAATAGCTGATGCTATGAAATAATAACAACCAAAGTTCCTTACAGGGACATACAAGCAATCTAAAACACAAAGTGACCAGCTCTTTTAAAAATGGAATAACTAAATAAATGAAGACATGTGGATCTTTGAAGCCTTGTTCAGTTTTTGCTAAAATGGGGCTCTGCAGCATGATACAGACAGTGATATTATAGGAAATTGGCTCTAAGTTCTAATAACTTGACAAATGCTGAGTTAGACAAACGTGAAGTGGTTTCTTCACTGGAGGACTGGAAACGTAACATGCTGATGCCATGGTGAATTTTAGAGGAGGATGTGGTAGTCACCCTCCCCCTAACAATGTAAGTAAAGCACAAATTTTCACAGCATATCTTTTCCCATCTACCATGACAATGTTTCCAGAACATGGTTTGGGGACAACTCTCACTAGTTCCCTGGTGGTACTGATGAGGACACTAGGCCAGATGACAAGCTTGTGGACACATGGAGTCTAGGTGGGAACAGGGGAGAAATCCAGGTCTCTCTCGTTCTCAGACTACACCCTTTCCTATACACCCGGCTTTGTGTTTTTGTTTTTTATAAATTAAATCTTTATTGCTGAAAATATTACATATGTCCCTCTTTCCTCCATCGACTCCTTTTAGCCTGTTTCCATGCCCTGTCACACGTCTTCACCATCCTACTGTCTGTGTCCATGGGTCATACTAGTACATACATGCATAAAGTTCTTTGGTTCATCTCCTGCCTCCCGCTCTAGCCTTCTCTCCAGTTCCCCTGAGCATGCCTACCCTTGGCTCTAAGTATCCCAGTCTGCTATCAGGAATGATAGCACCAGGCTACTCCTGCCTCTGTGTCTTTGGGGTTCCCAACCTCCATGCTGGGAATGCCCTTCCTAGCTCATGCCCCTCATCCTTGATAAGGTGGCTCAAGGTTTGCCTGCTCTGATTTAAATGCCTCCTTTCTGCACTATCATAGCACCGTGAATATAATTTTATCTCAAGTCCCAAGTGGGATATGACAACCGCTGGGTCACTAACTTGACTATCTCTGCTGCTAGTCTATAAATTCCTTGATCAGCGACTATACCTTGTATCTCTATTACCAACTAGCAAGGCTCCTGGCATATTGCCGGTGTTCTAAAAATGTTTATTAGATGAATTAATGCAAATGCATAGGACATTGGGATCAGGGTAAAAAGACAGATGTAGAGTAAAATTAGAAGGCCAGGTAGTGGGTTAAAACCCTGACTTGGCCAGGTGGAATCAGACAACAGCCATTTCAGTACACATTACTGGGTCTCAATTTCCAAATGAACACTGAACACTGATGACACTGGAGGTCTTGGATTTTTCTATAATGTCAACAACATCCTATATAATAAAAGGTTGTATTATTTTCTATAATGTCAACCATATCCTATATAATAAAAAGCTAATATGCAAAACAACTGAATGACTGGTTTCTATGACTCACACTGACCACCAGGGGGCAGATGCTCAATGCAGGAGCTGCCCCCCCCCCCCCCCCCCCGGGGTGGTCAGTGCACCAGAAGCTGGGCTCATGGCTGGCAAGTGAGTGACAGTGGCAGAAGCCTCTCCTGCCTCTGTGGCAATGCTAAGAATGTCTGACTACAGGCCATCAGTCAAACAACCCATGAGGGCTTCCGGACTATGAGGGGGTGCAGGACAGGCTGAGGGGCACCCCCGCCCCAAGTGCACAAATTCCATGCACCGGGCCCCTAGTATATCTATATATACAAAACCCTAATATGTAAATAGACTGAATGGTGGAGTAACCAAGCAACTGGTTGTTATGACGTGCACTGACCACCAGTAGTCATAAGTGGAACATGGCGGGCATCAGCAGTAGGTGGCAGAGTGCAGAATATGGCAGGCATCAGCCATGGCAGGATGGTGGAGTAGGTGAATGGGGCGCCAGACCAACGCAGGGCACCAGTCACTGTCATCAGGGCAAGCCTCTGGTGGTTACTGAAAATTCTTTGCTCCCACATGCTGTGGTCTCGCTTGGTGCTCATACCTGCTGCCACTCACACCCACTGCTGGCACCCGGCACCACCTCAATTGCCCGGCGCTGTCAGCAGGTATTAGCGGCAGCTTCCAGCCCCAATCACCCC